ATGTTTTTACACCGCATACAAATGAGAAAAAAAAACCTTCAGCTCTCCAAATACCACCACCATAACCGAGCTTAAAATATAACCGCGTCACATTTTATTCCATAAAGGCATATTTAATATTTTACACCGCATACAAATGAGAAAAAAAAAAAAAAACCTTCAGCTCTCCAAATATCACCACCATAACCGAGCTTAAAATACAACCGCGTCACATTTTATTCCATAAAGGTATATTTAATATTACTGTGAGCCATCGCAGGGCACACGTAGACAACAACAAACACTCGCGCTCACAAGCACAATCATGCCCATGATCAAGCTGCCACAAATGTTTTTGGTTTTGGAACGTGGTAGGAAACTGGAGGACCCGGAGAAAAACCAAGCAGGCGCTGGGAGTGGAGGCAAACACACACACACACACACACACACACACACACACACACACACACACACACACACATATATATGTATGTAGAATATAAACATACTCAAATATATATGCCCATATGTATACATCTATTGCTCTACACGTAGCAATTTGTGATGCTTCCCGATATGCATTCTTGAGATGCACGCCGACCATCCAGACCAGAGCATTAACGTCTGTTGCCGAGGTAACGACAACGTCGAACCTGTGTCGTGTGCTCGCATCTAAAACAGCCAAATGTCTTCATCTTCCCCCCGGTGAGCCACAACAGAACAGAAAAACGGCACAGCCATCGAACGGCTCGCTCACAAAAAAGGCCAAGCTGCCACACATTTCACCCCCAATTAAAAACTTTGCCGGCGACCACGGTGACACCGCGCGAGGCTCTCCTTCCTCCTGCGGAATTGTCCTGCACTCTCTATGCCGAGGGAGAGATACTTTTGTTACCCGGTCGGAAAGAAAATAGCATTAAACATGTCGAGAAGGCGGAGCTACCGAGACACAGTCACTGATAATACAATGACCATCTTGCGTATTGCGCTCAATCTGGTATGAGGGTCATTCCCGAAATGGAAAGTGTTGACTGCGGCTAAGTAATGAGTGTTCACCACTAGATGGCGCATGTCACTTTAGGGCAACTCCAACACTAAGACTGTATTTCTACATAAGAGAAGGAGACTCGAAAGTGGCAAGAAGCCAGGACCGAAACAGTCGGTCGAAGAAAATGGTGTCTTTCAGGTCAAACGGGAAGCCGATTGTTTGCTGGTTTGCTTTGTGACGCTTTCAGCCATGACAGACTCATCTCCAAAGTACACCAACAGTTGAACCGGTGACAGTTCGTTTGAAGTGCAGTCGCATGGCAGTACAATCTGACAATATTTGAGTGAGATGATTTTGGGAAATGCGTGCACAAAATGAGTTTTTGCACTTCATGTTGGATCAGCAAGTGTGTGCGGTCCTTCAGTGCGATTTTTGGTGCAAGAAAGCCCTTGGAAGGGGGTGGCGGGAGAAATCACAAGCTGTACAAAGTAGTTTTAGTGTGTGTGTCGGGTCGGTATATTTTCCTTTCGTGTGTTTTGTTCAAAGCATATCCCAGAGAAAAACCACAAAATAAACGAATCACATTCAAAAAAATCGTCAGTGTTCGTCCATGAATTTTTTATCACTTTGGCCAGGAAAGCCAAAGTGATGCTGCTGCGCAAAATGGACCATTGCCGATTCCACCAAGCCCTTTTTAGGCAAGGCCACCCCTGAAAACGTAAAAGGTCTCCACATCGGATGATTCAAATGATTTCCGTCTTGCAGCCAGAAGACGACGAAAAGCCAGCCTGGGATCATTTCGACCATTAGCTTTCTCATTACTTCTTCCCTCTTGCTCTTGTTCAGCGTTTCTCTTTATTGTCCGTGACATCAGAGCGCTAATTAGAAGCGCGGCGGGTCATCGGTATTCCAGATGGAGCGCCGCCTCATTTAAAGGGGAGCGCCGCGCGCGAGCAGAGCTTCCTCTCTCCCGCCGAGCGTGTCCACCAAATGTAATATTAAACAATCTGGCAAATGAAATCATTTAAGGCTGTTTGAGGAGGGATGTCGGATATCTGATGGCGAGCAATTACGCAGGCTTTGCACGGGTGAGGTGAGGAATCGCGTTCAAAGTCATGCCTCTCGGCCACGGAGCCAGAAGGAGGGAGGGAGTCGTGGAGACAAGCGTAGGGATGGAAGACCCACTGCTTCCATCCCGACAAGACATTCCCTGAGGTGTGCGGGACCCAGGACCAGAGCTCCGATATGGCTGATTGGAATGGAAATTAATTGGGTTTGTTAAAAAAAAAAAAAAAAATGCATAGCAGGAAGACATCCAAAAAAATGATCCCATCGCAATATTGAGGCAAAAAAATTAAAATAATCGGCACTAGAATATTTTCCTGAATCGTTGGCTGTGACAAAAATCAAGCAAATCAAGTCACTGCTCGGGTGAAGCAAATCACAAGTCAAGTCGTACGATCTTGCACGGCCAACAGACTGGATTGGAGCAACACAGCACTTGTGTGTTTCGGAATTTGACGCAAATTCAAATCCCCGCAACAAAAATGAGTTTGACACCCCTAGTCTGATACTTCTCCAGTCATTTACAAGTAGTAGGCAGGCTACCCCTAGTGGTATTTGATACAAAATTAAAAAAAAAAAAAAAAAAAAACTGACTCAAATACAAAATAAAACATGAAACGCGATTCAACATACTCGAATCAATAAAAGTATCTTTGCAACCGATGGCAAGAAAATGCATTGAGATGGACATTTTCTCAAGCAGTTGTTGACGAAGAGGTGAGCCTGCCCCGACCTTTGCTTGTGAATGACTGAGCAATTCAGGGAAGCACCCGCCTGTTCCCAGTTAGCCTCTTCACCTGTGGGATGTTCCGAATTGGTGTTTGATGAGCATTCCACTACTTTCCTGTCGCAAGGTTCTTCGAATGTGTTGCAGCCATAACATTCAAAGTTAAATTTAAATTGTAATAAGGGTGTTCGCGACTCAATGGCATGCGCACACGTGCACATGCAGATTTTTTAAAGTCAATTTTTTGTCAAGTCCCAGTCGAGTCTCATGAAGGCAACAACAAAATCAAGTCGAGTGTCCTCATTTTTAGCCAATCAAGTCCCAAGTGTGAAAGTGGTGACCGGCGTCTGATTTGAGTCGAGTCAGGTAACTGCTGCGTAGGGGTTCCATCTCACTTACTCTCACACTTCTTACAGATGACCACGCCCAGGTTGAGCGACGCCCACTCCGGCCGGGCGGCGTGACAGTCGGCGCAGCTCCGGTTGGCCTCGTTGAACCAGATCTTCTCGGCCACCTCGTAGTCGCACAGCGTCTCGGCGATGGATTCCCGAACCGCTTCGATCCACTCCGACTTCTCCTGCTCCGACTCGGCCACGAAGCTGCACACAATCGACGGCGACTTCATCGGCAGAGTCAACTTTTTTTCAAGACCTTCATTTCTTCTTTTTTTGCATTTTCCCGGCAGTCTGGATGCTCTGTGACATCGTGCTGCCTCTCACAGGTCAGTTTTGGTACTACAAGAGAAATCTGGACATCGCACATGAAAAAAGGCACACACACTAGAACAAAATGAAATAACGAAAACAAACCGGAAAAGAATTACTGGCAATGAAATAAAATAAAAAGGAGTGCTTTGGAAAAAATAATGAGTTCCCAAAACCACATTTTTTGTTTATAATGCTAAGTAAAGCTAGCCATTGCATCATTAGAGCAAAAATGCCCATGAAGAATGAATTTCAAGGAAAACTCAACTCAAAGGAAGCATTTTCCAAACCTAATTAAAAGTGAATGCAAAAACCAAAAAGGGCCGCAAATGCAAAACGATGGAAACGCCGGCCCGGCCTTGAAATGTTTCCAATTTGACTCTCAACACAAAGTCGAGCATGTCACTGCAAGCGCGACCTCGAAACGGTGGCAGCACTGGCATGGCTCGCAACGCGACGCGGAGCCAAATCAGCGCAGCGGACCGGAAGCTCTTTGGGAACGGCAAAGGTGACGCGCGGCCTCCACTTGGGGAATCATCCGAGGTCAGGCTGTGATGGGGGGATCATTGCCAGGGCGCAAATATTGGCAATGCTCTCCCCGATACGCCTTGAGCGGCGCATTCCTTTCCTCAAGTTTTCTCCGCGCCGACGTGAACGTCTTTGTCCCCCGTAACGCGTCCTAATTGTCATTCCCTCAACTAATAAAAGTCGACCGTGGCAACGAAACAAGAGAAAAGCCAAAGTGAGTCTCCCCAGCCCAGAGTGACTGGATGACTTCCTGGCTAATCCCCACCTTGAGCAGGTAGCACAAGACTCGCGGGGTGACCGATCGATTCCATCCACACACACACACACACACACACACACACACACACACACACACACACGGACGCACGCACACACACACACACACACACGGACAATGCGAGCCTCTCAGCATTCACCTCATCAAAAACAATTGGGGAGCTCAATTTAATTCCACTTTCTTTTTTTTTCGTACAAAATGGCAATTACGTAAAGGTTATTAACAAACGACGAGACCATTACGGACGCCTAACACAAACAGATCGATTGGAGGAACGAGGGAGGGTCTTACACAAATCAAGTCAATCTACAAATGGTGAAGAAAAAAAAAGTGTGCGTATGTGTGTGTGTGTGTGGGGGGGGGGGGGGGGTTCCTTTGGCGTACCCAAACAAACAAGCCATTCTTTTTGATGGTTGTATTCTAAATGGGCCATTACAGCTCAAACAAGCTGCGTGCTTATTGATTGTCGGGCCTGAGGGAACGCGGAGTCACCTCAAAGGTTCGACGGAGAGCAGCCGAGCTCGGAGCTCGGGGTTCATTAAAAATAAACACGAAATAAAAACTCTTGGCAAGTGCCTTGACTGAAGACACAAGTCAGGTCAGTTTCTTTATTTCAACGCAATTGAAACAGCTCCTCGTTTGTAATTGAGCAGAATAAAATAGCTTCCAACGGCAGTGGCGCAATTAAAACGTATCACACGTTTGGGTTCAATATCATTTTTTTTTTTTTTTTTTTTTTTTTTTTTTTTTTTTAATAAATGTTTATGAAGACAAACTTCAATACAACGGAACTGCCTTCCAATTTCGATGTCGTGCATTCGCCGATCAAAGCAGTCATGATTTCACTTGCCACTAGAGGGAGTCCATACACGCTTGAAAATGTTTTATTGTTGTTGTGCCTGCAGTGCATGACACGAACCAACATCTTTTTGATTTCATCCTCGATTGGAATCATTGTAAGCATTTGAGTTGGACTGAGAAAGGCGTGCAGACCTACCAGAACGTCTTAAAGGGTGTGTTGATTTCAAAGACCCTTCGGTCGGCGTCTTGAACATTGGCATCGGTCAGATCCACTTCGCAGATGGCCAAGCCGGCGTCGTAGTCCTTGAGGGGCACAAAGACGGAAATCACAATGGACGCTGTGGAAAATGGCCTCTTTTCGATGTCAAGTCTTCACAGTCAAACATGAAGCTCCGAGTGGATGACGGTCGCACAAAGCCGCCGCCGCCGCGGCATCATTTCACCAAGTCGCCCACCCCTGCCCTGCTTAACCCCAGGTGGGGCTTCTCTTCTATTTTCACTCGTGGCGACAGCGATTCATCGCCATGTCACAGTCAGTCATGCCTTTGTCACAAATGTCGGCTGGATTTGTGTCATGCACTTGACTTCGGAGTCAGCCGATCCTCCATGAAGCATCTCCAGTTGGTCCAGAATGCTGCTGCTCGCCTCTTGACGGGCACTCGTATAAAGAGGGAGCAGAGAACTCCGACTCTGGCATCCCGTCACGGGCTCATTTTCGAGTTCTTTTGAAGATCCTATTATTTGTTTTCAAATCTTGAAATGGCCTGGCCCCGCCTTACCTCTCTGAGCTCCTCCGCCCTGACACACCGGACCGTTGGCTCAGATCTGCAGACCAGATATTATTAGAGGTACCAAGAACTAAGCGGAGGCTCTGAGGGGACTTATCCCATTCGTGGCTTAATCGACAAAATATTTGTTTTTGCTGCAGCCCTCGTCTAAATATCTGTACTGTATCGATATTATTTACACACGTCGCGATTTCAGACACTGCATTTCATTTGTGCTTGTGCAAAAGCTGCAAACACCTCGAAGCAAACGCACGAGGCTTCGCGCGCTCCATTAGTCTTCGGCAGACAGCATCTCAAGCTCCAATTTTCAGGCCAAATTTAGACGCCTTCCCCAATAAGGCGCCATCACCTGCTTGCCTCATTAAAGTCACAGCTCGTTTCCCCCCCCACGCCGCCTTGGAATGTAATTCGGGGGCTCCCAAACATGCAAGTAGAGAGAGAGACAGAGAGAGAGCTACATTCACAATCGCTGCATTGTCAGTCTTGCTGGCTTTTTTTTTTTTTGCAGTTCTACGAGAAATAGTTTGTGACAGGCAATCACGCTCATGCCATTGGCCTGAACCAGGTCGACGTGTGTGTGTGTGTGTGTGTGTGTGTGTTAGAAGCTAACATGTGGCATCGTACTTAAAACTCAGTAAAAAGGCCGAAGGTGCATCTGAGGACTCCAGACACTTCCACCGAGCAGTTGAGGTTATTGTCTCCTGCCTGGAAGACAAAGACGAGGGAAGAAGCCCACCCACGCGAGAAAAAAAAAAAAAAAATGCACGACTTTGCAGACAAACTTCCCTGAAAGCCTCGTGAGCTCATGAAATCAAAAGATGAGGGAAGCAAATGAAGAAGACGAAGCCAAAGAAAGCCTTGGTGATCCTCCCTTCAAAGCGGGTGAGACGCCCGAGAGGTCAGTGGAGGTGTTGACCAAACGAAGAAGCCAGAACGGGATTTGGAGGACGACGCCACGTTTTGCCTGCCCCAAACAATGCCGCGGTCCGATCGAGCATCTGTGCCGCCGGGAGGTCCAATTCAAAAGTATTACGCTACAAACGAGCACTGTGCTTGTGCTTGTCCAGAAGAACCTGTGAGGAGGACCTTGAGAAAAAATTGCAATCCCGAATATAAGACGGTGTTTTATGCATTGAAAAAGTGGGGGTCGTCTTATATTCGGGGCCGAGACATTATACCCATTCACGACACTAGATGGCGCCAGATATCATTGAAGCGAATGCTGAACTTGACTCACCAGGCCAAAGTGAATCCCTGTCACGAAGAAGAAAAATAAAAATAGCGGTAGCACGAAGAAGAAAAATAAAAAATAGCGGTAAGAAAGAAAAGAGAAGAAAATAATCGAAGAGATAACAGAAAATGGAGCAACGTAGCGACAATCTGGAGAAAAGTGGGTCGAAGATCGGCCAGGTTAACCGGCAGCTGAGGAGAAGTTATGGTGTCATTTACATTTCATAAACCAGAAGCCGTTCATTTACGAATGTGATTGTACTTTCGTTTACATATTTAAATGTTCAGACATTAAGATTTGAATGAGGCAAAATAACATGCTTTTGCTCTCAAATATATTGTTATCATCATTTGTTTCAGATGTACTGGAATTATTTTCTGTATAAAAATTAATTTGGGATTCAAAAAGTCTTTTTTCAAATGAGTCTTGAAAAAGAGGGGGTCGTCTTATAATCAGGGCC